TTTAAATCAGTTTCAAACCAGTTCAAGTGGTATGGCTTCCTTCCAAAGAGCACAAACCATTATAGTTCTGCAGGCGCATCCACAACGGTTAAAGAAAGGACACTCCTTACAAAAGTTTAGTTTACAGGATTCTTTGGAGAAAGCCAGGGCATTCAAACTGATTTGAAATCAGCTGTAGAGTGATTTATAACTGAGACCCTAACTGAAATGCTTCAGGTTTCTTTGCTTCAGTATATGTAATAATCCACTAATTTGAGGGGCAGAGTTCCTTGGTTGCTTCCAGCAAAGCAACAAAGCACTCTACCTAATCTTTTCAATATAAATCTTTACCATCAACTAGTACGCCACATACTACATAGGTAGTGGCATTATTGCACACAACATAGTGCTTTAGTTACTTAACTTCATGCAAAGTGAGTGCATTTTTCAGTTTAAAAAAATAGTTATTTTTGATTTCACATTTGCCTGAACTAAAGTGATATCTATCAGGAAGTCCTCCAGTGCAAGACCCTTTGATATAAGCTATGCAGTAGAGCACAGCAGGGCCTACCAGTGTGTGTCTGATGAATATTAAATAGCATGCTGTTGCATCCAGACTAAGGCTGCATTCCAAACCTCCCCCACCAGTGGGGCTGTATGGAGTGGCAGGCCCACCACTGCACGGCAGAAGAGCAGTCAGGCCCCATCCTGTCACATGAAGGCAATGAAATCGGTTTGGGAGCCAACTGGCTGAGCCCCACCCTTGGAACTCCCATTCAGTGGCTTCCTGCTGGCTGCTGACCGGGGAGATCCTGCCAGTGATTCACCCTCCTGCCTGCATGTTTGGCAGCTTGCAGGAGGCCAGATTAACCAGGAGAGCTGGACAGAGGGACATCTCTGCTCAGTCCAACCACCTCTGCCCAGCTTGGCATAATGGGGAGGGGACTAGATTGTTCTGCCCATTAGCTGCACTTAGTTTCCATCAAAATCAATGGGACGTAAGTCATGAGAAATTTGTCCTTTTCAATGGGAACTAAGTACAGCATGTGTAAATAAGGCTGCAATCCTTTAAACACATACCTAGAAATATGCCTCATTGAGCTCAGTGGGGCTTAATTCTGGGAAGTCATAGACAGAACTGTGTAGCTAGTGCACTAAATGTAATTGGATACAACTCATGGTGTCTTTAAGAAGTAAACTTATAATCTTTTACATCCTTTCAAAAGTGTGATCAACTTATTTCTACAAAATAACATTTCTTTAAAAACAACAACACCCCAGGGTTTATTTTCTTTCTTTTAAATGCCATTCATTTTATTTCAGGGAAATTAAATTTAGATTTAAGTGTGTATACAATATATCCTATGGAAATGAACCCCCCACCTTGAAACTAAAGTATTTTATTTTCATATTTGTTAAATGAAGGCTGTTAAAAGGAAGAGAAATTGCTAAGGTAGGCAGGATGTCTAGAAATGTACTAAATCAAAGAAATCAGATACATCCAAATCTGGCAATTAGACCTATAAAAGAATAGATTTAATGACCATTATTTGTTAGGAGGACTGACAATGAAATTGTCAAATGGTTCCTGTAGAATTTTGAAAGATTCAGAAGAAGGCTTTGGGAGACCACACTGTAAGGGGTAAAGTCATCCAACCTTCATCCTTGGTATTCACCAAAACTGACTACCTTCAGTTTTGCAAATACCGGTACTACCTTCTGCAGTTTTAAGCTTCCGTACATTGCTCTGAAAGCTGGGCATTTTCCCTAGAACAAAAGCCAGTAAACCCAGGAAGTCAGCATCTTTGGGAAATATATTTGTTAAGGAACTGGATTCTAAAGCCAGTTTCATAAAAACATCAAACCATGTTTTTTTGTAGGCCGACAGCAAGTGTTGTACCTTTGTTTACCCTGCCCTCCCTTCTCTACTACATGGTGTTTCTCTTGTAGGTTATTAAACCACTTCCTGATCTATCTGAACTGGAAAACTGTGGTTTAACCCGAGCCTTCCAACCAGGAGGGGTTGGGAAGCTTTGACTTTCACTTTCAATTAACAGCAGTTTATAGTTATATTTGAACTCTTACTGAAAGAAGTCAGCTTGAAGTTGACTTGTTTTAGTAAATAATAGTTAAGACTAACCACAGTTTATCTCAGAGCTCAGACGTAACAGTAAACTACTGTAAACAGTAAGCTTGCGTCCATGTTGCAGAGGAGAGGGGGGAAGTGACAAGCCTATATATTGGGTTCAATATGTGTTACTGATAACTTGATGTCAGCGAGTATTGATAAGGCTGCTTTCTAGTAGCGTGCTTCTGGTGCCCAACAAGATGTATTGATACATGTGCGTGTATTGATACATGCCAATGTATGCAGCACAGGATAACATGCATAGAAGAAAAAGCATGGGTGACAGATGGATGTCTAGATTCAGCATAATTTAGGTTTATTAGGGTTACAGGGCCACCTTCAGCCTAATCTGTTCAACAAATCCAGTGTGCAATAGCTACTGCTGAAGGGGATGGATGATGTTTTTACTGCAGGCTATCATAGCTGCCAGCTCCAGCACCGCAGAGCTTGCAACTAGAACACCCACTATTCCCCTGGGCAACTGCAAGTGGGATTAATATTTGTTGCCTTATTGCTTCCTGCCATATGTGAGGTAAATATAAAATGCAGCCTCCTTTGGGTCCTAGCTTCCTCATGCCATTCTAGCTCTAATTAAGATTACTCTGGCTCTCACCATCAGGTAGGTCATTGCTGGTTATCCTGTAAATTTGGGAAAGGAAGTGCATCCATGGATGGTATAGTACCAGTTTGAAGGGGCCCTGAGCAAAATGCTCTCACTGAGCCCTGGTGGGTTAGCTGGCAGCATTGTAGGAGCAGGGCTCTGAGCAGTACTGAGTGGCTGCTATTTAAATTTCTCACAATGCCCCAGAGTTATACTTAGTTGTGGGGCACTGTAGTGAAATTAAAATAGCACCAGACTGGGAGTGGGTGGCTTCTGGGCAAGCATCTGTGGTGTGCCCTACTGGGTGGCCCAGCAGCTGCCCGAGGATTTTGGGTTCTGATGGCAGCCTTGAAGATATGCATGCAACTAGTGATGGGGAGGGGGAAATGAATACAAGAGATTTAAAGGCAAATGTATGAGATTTGACATTGCACTTACTAGCTCTGGAACAGCTTTAGCTGGTGAAAACAACCAGTGGTCTTTGTAAAGCCCTACACATTCAAAGGGAGGAATGCTATGGTTTCAGTGGTATGGCATCTGCTTTGCATGCAGAAGGTCCCAGGTTCAATTTCTGGCATTGGGAAAGATGAGACCTTGGAGAGCTGCTGCCAGTCAGTGTGGACAATACTGAGCTGGATGGACCAATGGACCTGACTCAAATATAAGGCAGCTTCCTATGTTCCTACTGTGGCCCCTTTGTTATCTGGGACTTGCACAATTCCCAGTCTTTAAACACCCCCCCACCCCCACCCCACACAGATACCTGCAGCACAAGGAGGCAAATGCAAATATTGCCATCAAAGCAACAAACCAAGCTCTCTAATGATGAGTTCGCTGAGCTCAGACCCCCTGGAGAAAATAAAGAGATGTCTGCTGTCGACCTACAAAAAGCCTTGCTCCACTTCATGGAGCCCCAGGAAAGCAGAGCCACTGCCAAGAAAGTGAGGTATATTCTTTGGTTAAAAATAGTACTGGCAGCAAGCCTGGATAAAGACAATTAGGGATGGATTTAGACATTTGTGTGCTGATAAGCTCATTTGGGGTAACATTTCTTCCTTCCCCAATGGCAAGGGGGTGTCTCTGTCTGGGCATGCCGAAGACTATTCCCAAAGAGAGAGTGCCACTGTGTGTTCGATGTTTCAGACAATCTATCTTGTGTTTTTTTCAAGGTCTTTTTTATGGGAATAGGATGCTGAAACCCTGGAACAGAAGTGGTGAATCTCAGGCTCAGGGGTCACAACATGAGTGTTTTGGCCTGGCTGCAATGTCCTAGACCTCTGATAATGCCTCTACCTTGCCTGGATAGAACATATGAAGAAATGTGTGTAGAAATTAGTATACGAAGGTAAAATGCATATATGTTTCTTTCCCTACTTTTTCACCTGGCTCCACCCATCACGGACATGTGGCCCCTGGAAAGGTGTCCAGAAGGAATGTGGCCCTTGGGCAGAGCAAGATTTCTCACCTCTGCCCTAGAGAGTGACAAGCTTGGACTACTGCTTCAATGCCACAAATGGGCAGAGCAGGAAAACTGGGATTCCAGCTATCACTGGTTGAGCTGGAACCCTGCTAAGTCAGGGGCAGAGCAGTTGCAAGGTGTTGGTGAGGAAACGAGAGAGACAGCAAGGTTTAGGAAAGGTGCTGCAGCTTAAGGGGGCATTCACACCACATATTTAAAGCCCCATTATACCACTTTAAACCACCAGGGCTTCTTTCTGGGAGCTGTAGTTTGTTAAGGGTGCTGGGAGTCATTGGTCCTCACAGAGCTACAATTCTCAGTGTGGTTTAACAACCAAGCCCACTTCCTAGGGAACTCTGAAAAGGGACATTAACAATGGACAAGCTGCCTTTGAAGGAAACCCTCTATGATTGATCTTCTCATTGAGGAATTCCCCATAGGCTCAAGATGCGAAGCAACTGTGTACTGTACAGAAGGTGTAGGTAGACCTCAGGTTTACATGACCTTCTTAGTGCTTTTAATAGAACCTTAAGGTGCACCAGCTGGAGTCACATGCTCAGGTGCAGTGCATGAACCACACATTTCGATAACCTGCACACACTTACACAAGTTACATCTGAGTTACTACAAAGCAGATATTCTAACTAATACAAAAAAATTCCTTCCAGTAGCACCTTAAAGACCAACTAAGTTAGTTCTTGGTATGAGCTTTCGTGTGCATGCACACTTCTTCAGATACACTGGGAGTATCAGTGTATCTGAAGAAGTGTGCATGCACACGAAAGCTCATACCAAGAACTAACTTAGTTGGTCTTTAAGGTGCTACTGGAAGGAAATTTTTTGTTTTGACTATGGCAGACCAACACGGCTACCTATCTGTAACTGATTCTAACTAATATGCAGATTGTGCATAGGTGCGTGCAAGCCTTTTTCTGTTGCCATTGTTGAGTAATTGGTAAACCCTTGCAGATCTACTACAAATCTCCCAGAGATTTACCAGTAGATGCCAATCTATTTTCTGTCCATGAAAAACAGAATTTCACTTTTAGGATGCAATATGCAGCTTATAGCTAGCAGTGGCAGGGTTTGGTGGAGTGGCAGAGCTACTGCTGCAGCCATAGTTTCACCATTTGCAGCAGCCAAAGTAGAAGGGGAGGAGAGTAAAACTGACCCTTTGTTACACTAGCTTCCAGGCTAGCGCAGCAAAGAGGCCTCAGTCAGAGCTGTTGCCATCATGTGACAGCCGTGGGAATGGTTCGGGATCTAGTGAACATTGCACTAGTCCAGAAGTGCCCTATTTCCAATGGCTACCACAAGCAGTAACGTCTGCTCTATCAACAGCATTTGGGCAGGCACACTGGGATGTTCCTTGAGGCTCACACACTGGTGGATGCCACCAGAACCAAGCGGAGCTGGGCAAAGGGGTATCTCCACCTCATCAAAAAAACAAAACAAAAAACAACAACAAAAAAACCCCCAACATGTTGGCTTGGGATTTCTGTTATCTCATGACCTCACTTGATTGGGCAGCCTTCTAGCTGAGTTCAGTTATGATTCTATAACCTTCTGTTCCTTCCTTCCTTCCTATTATACTAGTTTAGTTCTCAAAGTGGCTTTTCACATCTGAGGACATTACTTACTTCCAACTTGTCCCTGATTTCAGGGGCCGGGGCCTAGTAAATCACTGTTCCTATTCTTGACATACAGGGAAGCATGATTAAATTTCTGATTGCTAGACTTGCCAATAGGTGTTTGTGGAATAGATCAAGCAATTAAGATTGGTACCATGGCAGGCAACAATGTTAGCCACCAACCCACTTGAAACCTGATGAAAATCCGCCCCCCACCTGCTGTTTGCATTAGAATGAAAGATCCCCTTAATGCCAACCTTCCTCCATGTGCAAATAGCAACACTGGGGTGTGTGTGTCAGGATTATGGCAGGGAGTGAAAAGGATAAAATTCCCCTTCAAGTGGCAGCTATTTACACTTTTAAAAAATCCATATCTGCTAAATGCCAAAATGCTAGCAAGTTTGGCCCCAGCAAGCTTGGAGTAATAAGCAGGTGCATTTTCTTTCTAGTGCATAGGGAGGTAGTGCTCACACTTGAGCACTAAAAGGGCACAGCTTTCAGGTTCACAAGCTACATCTGGTTAAATCAATTTTGAATTGGCAATAGCGTATTGTAGGACAAGGAGTAGCTTCCTAGTGGTGCAGCAATAAAACTGCTAGCCCATTTGCAAAGCTAAGCAGGGTCTGTTACGGTTTCAGATTTGATGGGGGACCGTGTGTTGAGATTCCTGCATTGTAGGAGGTTGGACTTAGATGACCCGTGGGATCCCTTCCAGCTCTATGGTTCACCCCTTTTAAAGCATATTTTTAAAACACCCTCCTGTCATTCACATTAATGGAGCACGCTACAGAGTAAATGAAGACAAAATACAGCTAAAAGAAAGCAAAGAAAAAGAGAGTGGAGACCTCAGCCGTGTGCCATTGTACCAGGGGTTGGTCTATGCATATGTATATCTCACAGAAGATGGTGTCATTCTGAGGAAGGAGACTGGACTATGCTACTTCAGGCTACATGTGGAGGACCAACCAGCATATTTAACCCCCTTCAACCAAAACCTTCCTGCAAATACAAACTGCATAGCAAGTGGAGTTTGCTATGGTCTGCTAGTCATCTCCTCATTCTGCTTCATTTGTAGCATCAGTCACTAGCATCCTCAGGCAGCTGCTAGAGACTCAGCAGTGCCCACTGACAACACTAAGCCTAGGCTCCCTTTTCCTGGTGCTCTAACAAGACAGCCTACTAAATGGCTTTGAGTCACTGTTTAAATTTCCTGCAGTGCTTTCGAACACTCTCTGATAATGTGCTGCAATGGGGTATTGTGGGAAACTCTAAGGGTGGCTTCTACGCTATTGGATTCCTCCAAGGCACCACAACTCATTCGACCACCATCACCGTTACTGCTCAGGTAAGCCTGTCAACATATATGCTGAGGCACAAACACAGGCAGGCCCCACCAAGAAGCACAATGCTGAGGCCATCCTCAGACATGATGCTGATTCTTCTGTCAACCCATCCTGATCAAACTTTATTCACATAACCTCCCACCTCTTCTGGCACTATGCTCTCCAAGGGAGTCTATTTCACACATTCAGCTGCATGTGTCAAGAAATCTACTGCTTCTATGTGCATGTGTGAACTGGCAGTGCTAAGTAAATGTGTTTAGTATTAAAGGGTTAGGTTTCCAAAGAAGGGTTTTGAAAGAATATCAATATGTATTGTGTATCTGTTTAAAAGCAGCCATTCCTTGCTGGAAAGAATGTTTGCATTAAGGATAGCCATTGAAACTGTCGCCTCCAGATATTGCTGGACGCTGGATCCCCATCAGTCCCAGCCAGTATGGCCAGTGGTCAGGGATGATGGGATCTGTAGTTCAACGACACCTGAAAAACACCTATTTTTCACAGATAATTCATCATAAATTACATGTATTATTGTCAACAGTGAACTTCATTTTTAAAAATAGGAATCCCATTCTTTTCCTTAGGCTTAAGTCATCCAATGCAATGCTGCCGATCAAATGCTCTGTCTGGAATTCAGTAAACTGGCCTTAGTCGGTGCATAATAGGGATTGTGCCTGCATTCCGTACCCCTACCCTTGGTCTCCACACATTTGGTGCAATAAAGAATGGAGAACCCACAGCTCTCAATATATTGTTGGGCTCCAACTCCCATCAACCCGAGCCAGCATGACCAATGGCCAAGGATGATGGGAGTTGCAGCCTGACAACATTTAGAGGGCAACGGGTTCTTCACCCCAGGTCTATATGGGATATATGCATGAAGAGTATTAAGTGAGTATGCCCAGCAGAGGTACTCTTTAGAATGTAATGTTTAAGGGGAGGGGTTACACATTATTGGTCATATCTGTGCACATACACACCATCTGGACATTAGGATGGCGAGATGCATTGCTAGTGCCACACCATGCTTTGAGTTTACCTGCTCTGCCAAAGGCAACAGGTAAGCAACATGGGTATGGCATCCCACCAAGCCCTGTTATTACACATTCCCAACTCTTTTCTGCAGGCTGTATGGGGTTTCCATTCAAAGCTTCCTTCCGAATGAATGGAGACTCTACAACAGTGTGGAGAGTGTGGTGAAGTGCTTTTAACAGTCATCATGTAAACAAGTATACTGCAATGGTTTCTAAACTTTTGAACTAAAGCAAATGGTATTTTTTCCTGGCTGCGAGGCTCACCTTTACTTATGGTTCTATACTGTCTTGCAGCGCTTACTACCAGATCTGTCCAAGACAAGGGCAACATGGCCCATCTGAGGAAGCAAATCTGGGGATGCCAATTAAGGGCACAAAGCCTGCAATCCTATATGCACGTACCTGGGAGTAAGGTCCATTTACATCAATGGATCTTACTTCTGAGTAGATAGATATAGGCTTGTGCTGTTACTGGTCAGTTATTTAGTTTATTATTATATCTGTATCACCATTTAGATATTCTACGTCAGGTACCAAATGTCTTGGACCATCTCTGCTCACTGCTAGCAGTTTATGCCAGTACCGGAAAAAGGCTTCTGTAGGCCTTTGGGAGAATGCTAACAAGGTTCATCTAGGAGGCCCCAATTTCTCCCTCTCTCTCTATAGTGAATCACTATAAGTCCTGAGTTCTTCCAGTGGTCTCTTTGTTTCTTTTATTCCAGTAAACATTACTTAAGTCATAAATACGAATGATTCGCTTAACTCCGTCAGACACTGTACATATAGAAAACAACGGTTTTCAGTTCAGACATCCCCCCCCTTCATCCTTTGTTTTGAGGCAGCAATAGACAGTATCGGAATCTTGTGGTTCACAGGTCTGTGGCACTAAATTCACAGTGGATAAACGCCGACAACTGGAATAGCTACCGTCTTCTCAGATTGAGGGCACGTTTCTTGTGGACTACCCCATGATGGTGCAAAAGCGACCGGAAGCTGCTTTAGGTAGCAGCAGAGCTGAACGGGCCACTTTGTGTGGCCCCTTTCCGTACCATGTGCACGAGCACGCACTCCCCCCCATACACATGTGCGTTGCCTATGCCCGTTCTTCCTCTGAAAAACAGGCACGTTATTATAAAAATAGCACAGCGTTTCAACGGCATGTACAGTTTACGCCTCAAGAGGCAAAAGGGAACGTAACATTTTCCTGGATATAGACGCTATACATTTTAAGGCACACCAAAAGGGTTTAAGCTTACCATTTCCATGCTACTTGAAACCTTTGTTATGCTCACAAAAGACAGTAGCAACGATTGACTGGAAATGCTGAACATTTAAATGTTCATTCCCTAGGAGTGGCCAATGCTTTTCTTTACTTTTCTTATTTTTTTTTTTGTTTGTTTTTTGTATGCTCTTAGGGTTTAAAATTTCAATTTGGAAAAAAGACAGAGAAATAAATAAATAAATAAAAGAAAAGAAATATATGAGGATGGGCATTTTAGAGTATTTTTAAAAAATAATATTTCATGTTACATTTTATATATGTAGATATAGCTACATGCAGTACATCTACATATATAAAATGGTAAGAGAGCTCCTTTAACCCATACTCAACTTTAGTACAGTACTCATTAATATAACTGGGGTTTCAATTATGCCAGTGAATACTTCACTTCTTTCCAATGCAGAACCCAATCAGCAAAACAAACAGAAACAAAACAAAAATCCAATAAAATAAAGTAAAATAAAATAAAAATAAGACTGTCTTAACATGCAATGCAATAGGCATCCTGTGGCACGAGTTTTCTTATCCAATCTATTTACAATACAGCTGAGTACATTATTTACACAGGTTACAGTGTTTTGTCACAATGGATTTTTCATGGTCCCCCCACTAGCTCACTCCGCCCCCAAGTGTTCCCAGTGCTACATCCTGTCAGACGTGTGTTTCAATGAAGGAATGAGTGTGTGTCAGCAGAGGGGCTGAAGCTGCAAGTTCAGAGGCTCCGTTTTGGGTTTTCAGAACAGCGCCGTACTCACAAATGTCCAGGAAAAATTCATAGTTCTTCATTTTCCATTCTTTGAATTTCTTGGATGTCAAGTTGGGCTCATGGAGCAGGTTATTGATCACTGCAAGATCTCCTTCCTTTGCCTGCCAGAGGTTGGAAAGACAACATTCTGTTTAAGTGTGGAGTTATACGCTTGTCACAGTTTCAGCTAGGGTTGGGTGAATTTGTTGATTTCGGCTTCTCTTAATTTCTAATTTTCCAATCTTACATTCAGTTTTCCACATTTCTTCATCAAAATGAATATTTCACTCCTCACCTTGCCCCCCCCAGGTCCTCTTGGAAATTCATCAGCATTATAGTTTTAGTTGCATAAATTTCTTATGCAATTTTGCTAAATATGCACATTTTTACAAAACGGTATTCCCTAACAAGTCATTTTTTGTATCTTACTTTCAGTATTCTATGCTTTTATATGCACACTTTACCCTGGTATATGCATTTGTGTGCACATTTCTTAGCTTGAGAACTGCACTGCAAGATTCAGAGAAGTGTGAATTTTGAAGGATGGAAACGTTTCACGTACAGTATTGTTTTGGAAAGTGTAAATTATGTAGAGTTGCAAACTGAACCCCATTTCTTCCTAATCCCTATTTACACACGGTAGTGCTTGACATAGTTGAATGGACTTTGGTTGCAGATGAGACTACTGTAATGTAAAGGTAAAGGTACCCCTGCCCGTACGGGCCAGTCTTGACAGACTCTAGGGTTGTGCGCCCATCTCACTCAAGAGGCCGGGGGCCAGCGCTGTCCGCAGACACTTCCGGGTCACATGGCCAGCGTGACATCGCTGCTCTGGCAAGCCAGAGCCGCACACGGAAACACCGTTTACCTTCCCGCTAGTAAGCGGTCCCTATTTATCTACTTGCACCCGGGGGTGCTTTCAAACTGCTAGGTTGGCAGGCGCTGGGACCGAGCAACGGGAGCGCACCCCGCTGCAGGGATTCGAACCGCCGACCTTTCGATCGGCAAGCCCTAGGCGCTGAGGCTTTTACCCACAGCGCCACCTGCGTCCCAAATGTACTCTGGCTTAAAAAAGCATCTGGAAACATCAGCTGGTGAAAAATGCAAAGGACTGCTGGTAGTAGCCTGAATTGTGAACATATGTACCAATTTTATTGGCTGCCAATTTGTTTCTGGGTCCAGTTCAAAGTGACAATTACTCTTTGGGACTTCGAAATCTGAAAAAGGCTCTTCTGATATGACCTGATTATGTTTACAGACCAACGTAAGTGGGTGACAGGAAAACACCACATATGTTAATTGTGGCTGCCATTAAAATGAAGGTGACATGTTCATATGTACTTTGTGCACAAACTGCAATCTCTACTGGCTGATGCAAATAAACACCTATCTCATATGAGATGCAACAGATGGGCATAGGGGTAAAGAGAAGACGTGGGGAACTGTTAGCCCGCCACATGTTGCTAAACTACAACTTCCATCATCCCAGACCATTGGATATGCTTGCTGGGACTGAAGCAAGTTGTTCAGCAACATTTTTAAGAGCCAAAGATTCCCTGCACCTAATATAGAGCCTTCTCAGTGGTGGCACCCTGCCCCATCAACTCAGGAGTTACCTAATACCAGGTTAGGCTATTGTCTACCCAGTACTGTCCATTTTGACTGAGCAGAGGCTCTCAACAGTCTCCAGGAGACAGTGGTCTTTCCTATCACCTGCTACATCATTATTTAACTGGAAATGCTTAGAATTCAACCTGGGGTCTTCGTCATGCAATGCATGTGCTCCACCCATTTAGCCATGGTGCCCGCCCCCATGCTTACTTCCTCCTATTTCACTTTCACTATAATTAGAGCAGGGCGAACCAACATGGTGCCCTCCAGATGCTTATGCACCAAAACTCCCATTGGCATCTCTGGCCACTAGCCATGCTGGCCGGGGTTGATCGGAATTAGAATCCAACAACATCTGGAGAGAACAACACAACACTGGCTGTCCCAGTGTCAGAGAATGCTCTTTGAGAATGTGATACCCTGGTTCTTGGAATTTGTTTTTATTTTTAAACTACCGATGATATTATTCATTGGTTATCGCTCCTGGTTACAACTGTTTTGTTTATGGTGTTTTAGTGGCATGTTATGTTTTCAGGATGGTTGTCACTTGAAACAAAATGGCACAACAAAAACGTTTTACTTAAGAAATAAATAATAACACCCAGGTGAAAAGAAAGAATCCTTTTAAAAGGAAGGCTTTCTGTTAACAGGCATGAGGTATTACATGATTTATATAGTCACCCAGTTTTGTGGTTACTTCATTATGCTTTTGAGACTCTGAACAGCTAGGGAAGTTCGAAATGGTTTCAACAGTCATGCATATCTCTGTACACAGCAGAGAGCAGAGTCAATCTGATGCAGGGAGTTGAACTTCAGAGTCCCCACTCAAACCAACACTCAGCCAGTGGAGTTTTCTCTGTGATCTTGGTCCAATCCCTTCCCTCTCCACTCAACTCACTTGGCAGAATCATGGTGAAAATAGCATGGGGATGGGGTGGAACCTTACATATATTACTTTGAAGTCCTTGGATGAGGGATGGGATTCAAGAAATCAGCAATATGCAAAAGGATCATCTGTCCAATAAATATTCTGAAATGTTTGTCATGTTCATTCACAACAAGTTTTACAGCATTACACTGGTCTTTCATGTTGACGCAATAACATACAGAGGCCTGGTTTGTACAACTTGGTAAGCTGGACTATGGCTTACTGGTACCTTGGAAATGTTCTGGCTCTCAGAGAGGGAGCTCACTGTCACCCTTTGCTCCTTCCCCCAGTCCTGTATTCTCAGTGTGGCAACTAAGCCAAAGTTTGACTTAATGTATTTTCTGAACCCTGGCTCTTGGTTAAGCTCTCTCCTCCTTAACCCTGAACTGTAGCCAAAAAGAAGGTGCAGGAGAGATCTTAAACATGACTCCAGGTTCAGACAACACAGTAAGGCAAAGCTTGGGTTAGCTGCCATGCTGTGCAATTTCAGAATGACTGGGGAGGAGCAAAATGACTGTGTTCTCCTCCCTGGGAGCCTGTATGTTCACATTAAGCCATGGCTTAGCTTAGTCTTATGTGTGTATGCAGCTGCAGCATATCAAGGACAAATGCTTACTTTTAAAGTACTCTTGAGAGCTCGGATGTGATGAAGCTTTTCGTTGATAGCAGGGTCGTTGCTTCTCTTTACAAAGGACCTCCGGTATTCCTGCTTGGTGGAAGGGCGTTGCTCTCCAAATGCTGACAGACTAGCTTGCTCCAGAGCTTTGTACAACTCATGCAGACCATCTGCACTCTGTGGTCGCTCTTCTGCGTTTTCTGAAAGAAAATCCAGCTTCCTTTATTTGTGCGTGTAATAACAATATACGGTGACAGAAAACAAGAATAATTTATGCCAAAACAGGACAGTTATTGTTTTTCTGAAGCAGTTATTCAGCTTTAGGTCTGCCTGTAAACCACAGTAGTCTGCACCAGAGGCTGCAGGTGGAGGGCAGGTGGAACCCTGCCCCAGTAACCTTGGCCCACCCTCAGCTAGCTCTTACCTGCCTGCCTTCCTAACAACCAGTTCAGGAGGTGGGGCTGGCAATCAACGCCTTAGTCTCAATGCTGCCCCTTGTAGAACTCAGTGGAATTGGGGGAGGAGGGTTTGGGAACAAAATTAGGCACCCATCTAACTGTACATTAACAGACGCATCATGAAAGAGTCATGGCTTCCCCTACAGAATCCTGGGACCCTTATTCCCCTTACAGAGCTATACTTCAAAGAGTTCCCTGAGAAGAAGGCTTGACTGTTAAAGCACTCTAACCTCCTGCATACTATTGGGGCCCATCTACCTAAGCTCTGTCTGCTCTGGCAGGCAGTAGATCTCCACAATCTCACCCGGGTACCCTCAACTACCAATCCAGGAGCCCTTCTTACCTTCTTCACACAAGCTACTTTGCCTTCTAACAGGCAGCTTTTCTTCAGATCTCTCTTCTGTTATCCCACTGGGTTTTACGCGGCTTTTCGCTCGGACATCTCTGTTTCGTGGGAGGCTTTGACTACGTTGCTTCTGGGGTCTGGCATGAGAACTGTGGCCTCTGTGGCACTCCACCAATGGGAAAGGGCCATCCTGTTCATGGTTGTGTCGTCTTTGGACTGGTAGCGTTGCTTGTCGCCGCCTCTCTGGTGACGACCCGGGTTGTCCGCTCGTGTACTCTGGGTCAGGAGGGACAGTCTGCAGAAAATGGAGCCCTGAACTGGTCAACGGGGTCTCAATGAGATCCTGCCAGGAACGCCTTTCTCTGTAGGGAGGTCTGCAACTTGATGAGTGTGTGCTCGCTGCTGCATCCTGCCTGGAATCTTCCGCAGAAGAATGAGAATAGGTTGATTCACTGGAGAAGTGTCGTCCTTGTTTAGGCTCAGGGAATGGGCTTGAAGAATTCATCTGGAAATAATTAGAAACAGTCCGTTATATGACACAGTGTTGGGAACATAAAGGAAAAACCCAGTGTGTGCTGTACAATAAAACCTACACTCCTCTCTTTAGTTATTCTGTTACCAGTGTGATAGTTGAAGCCCTCAAGAGTTGCTTCTGTCTTGGTAAGAAATCTAAACCTGTGGCCCTCCAAATATTGTTGGACTCCAACTCCCATCAGCCCCAAACCAACATGGAAATGATCAGGGATGATGGATGAGTTGTAACCTGGAGGCCACAGGCTTCCTATCCGTGATCTAAAGCCTTCTCCTACCCACATGAGTGGCAATGTGGTTGGCAATAACACAGGGAATATTTAGCCCTCTTCAAAGTCCACTGAATGTGTCATCTGAGCATCCCACATGGGTGGAAATCTTGTGACATCCTACTGCTTACTCAGGAGCAACCACAGAAGCATCAACGGTGGTGGCAACTGCACATTTTAAAGTAACATCTAACATTAATGCTAACCAGCAGATCTGATGTACGGATTTGAAAATCACAATCACTTCCCTTTGTAGTTGTTGGAAAACATCCTCAACCACTCCCTATTCTTGTTTCGACACAGGTTTTTAAAGAAGTTTTTCTTGCGATCTGCTTAATGTAGTTGCAATTCAATGTTGCTTTGCAGGGGAGATTTTAAAGCCTCCTCAGAAGAAGTCAAAACTGGATTTCGAGTTCTTTTCTTTAAAAAAAGAACAAATGTTCCAACAAAATAGGGGGCAAGCAACATGTGAACACTGTAGTGCAGAATTCTTTTTTTTTTTTTAAGGGACTGCTGAACATTATCCAAATTCTTTCAGCTAAGTTCTGAAAAGGAAAAAAGAGAGAAAATGAAAAAAAAATTGTGGAAAAACAGTAAGGGAGGGGCTTAACCTGCATCCCAGTTGATGGAACAGCATCACATGGGTGAAAAGTCAGTCTGAGCTTCACCCATGTGATGCTGTTGCCTCAGTCATTCTCCCTTTGGTTCAGGCTGTGTGAGGACCACATCATTCACGCTGAAGAAAAATCTGAAAGAAAAATACAGAAAGAGTCCTATCTGAACTTAAAAAACACAGGTAAAAGGAAAGGAAACTAAAAAGCAGGTTGTACGCATTCGGTAGACTATCCACCAACATACTTATTAACCACATGATCACTATGGCTTCAAACAGTTTATTTTGCAGATTCGTACCCTTCCCACCCTCCAAAAATGTCAAGATACATTTGGCAAATGAAAGAATATATCATTACCATCACTTTCTGGACATATACAGCCCCCCCCTTACGTTCTGGGCCCCCATGTGCATAAGTGAGATTGTGTAAATTATGGAGCACCCTCTAAAAGGCTTCTGAATGCCTATTCCCCATTCTCCAGCTCTCTCTCCTGCTCTTTCTCTCCAATACTGACCAAAACATCTGGAGTTGAAGCTCTGGGGTTAGCTGGAGGCTGGGAGCAAAAGCGGCTGCAGCTGCGGCTGCTGTGCAACCTTGTGCATCAGGCTGGGGTGCCAGATGTGGCCCTCCAAGTATCTCTGTTTGGCCCTCAGGATCCTCCATGCCATACTCCCTGTCCCCAAGCCACACCCCACAGCGGCCCAGCTTCATATTCCCTTTGAGTATTTTTCCTTGGCTGGAAAGTGCCCTCGAGCTCTGATAATGCCTTTTGCTTGGCTGGCTGGCGGAAAGAGAGAGGTGAGTGTGGTTGTAAAGCAGCCTATCGTGGGGAGGTAAACATTACATTTGCTGCTCTGCCCACTTATGCTTCTGCTGTCACCCACCACTGGCATGTGGCCCCTGGAAAGTTGCCCAGAAGAGAATGTGGCCCTCTGCTAAGCTGTCAGTGAACTGTTTCCTCTCCAGGCATGAAAAGAGAAATTCAGAGTCATGTTAGTTGCTACCTGTTCATTATATTCTTTTATGAACTGTTCTTACACCAGGGGCTTTTTGCATAATTAGGACTCTTAGCATTGGCAGAATTTGCTTTTGTGTGTGTGTGTGTGAACTGCAACTTCCAAACCAACTTCAATCAGTTCCTAACGTCATTTTTTTTTAGCTTATTCAAAGATCAAAGGAAATTTTCTTTTTTAAAAAAGCTCCAGATGGTTGGAATACTGATTAACTGCATAACATTATGCATGCTTACTCTGAAGTAATTCTCACCGAGTTAAATGGGACTTACTCCTAGTTATTCATGCATAGGGTTGCAGTAGCTCCCATTCCCCCCCACCATCGGCCATGCTAACTGTGGCTTGATGGGAGTTGGTCTCCCACATCTCACTGGAGGGCCACCAGTTCTCCAACCCTGAATTCCTTTTACCTGTCCTATGGGAGGAGGATAAAATGTATTATCTGGTTGCTGCAGCTCAGACAGCATGGTTCTTATAAGCCATTGTTGTGTTCCTATACCAATAGTTTAGGAACTTTCACCACCGTAATTAAGTTTTACTGCCTGTGTTTTCTGATTCATGTATGGAAAAAGCACATGAGCCTGACCATTGAGGGGTTTGTAAGTAAACCAATTTTTAACGTACCAAATGTGTAGTCTTTTTCCATGCTAATTATGGACTTTGGGTTGTGTGGGCAGAAACCAGTCCGACTGATGGAAGACAGCCAAAGCTGTTTGAAATTATCTCAAAGTGAGAAATTTCATGTGAGAACCAAACACATTGGGCTGAAATACCAATAGATGTGTGAGGTGATGCACGATGGACTTGTTAAATTGGCCGACTGTCAAACCAAAGAAATGACAGCCGACATACTAACCAAGCCACTTCTGACAGCACTGATACCTTTGAGTCAAGATGCGTCTTTGGGTAGTTCATTAATTGTGCATGCAATTGTTATTATGTCTGAGAAGGGGTCTGTGGGATAATCAACCTCACATAACCAACATGTTTAAGTCTAATGCATGAAGGGGTCAATACCATAGTATAAGCTGTCATGCTAGGCTGAGCTAGGTTACTCCCTTTCTCACCTTGGAAGCAAGGTAATGTAATCAAGTCTATTGTTGTAGCTCAGTCTACCAGAGAAAATCAGTGTGAGAAGAGGTTTTGAGCTGGTTGCTGCAGCTCAAACCACATGGCTCTTACAAGCCATTGTTGTGTTCCTATACCAATCATTTAAGAACTTTCACCACTGTAACTAAGTCAAGTTTTACTGCCTGCATTTTCTGACCAAGGGCATATTTCCACACTGTACTTTGCTATATACTTCATGATTTAAAATCTGTACTGGGGTTCTCTCACCAAAGAGTACTTGGTCAAAACCTGGGTCTTGATATCCAGGGAATTCTCTTTTTATATCTATATTTTCCTTGCCAACCAACACTCCTATTTTCTCTATGGAATACCCCACATGATGCCACTGCCTTGCTGAAGCTAAGCAAATCTGGGTATGGATGGGAGGCGCCCCTGCCCCGGGAACTACATGCCTTCTGCCTTGAGGTCGACAATGAAAGAAAAGCGAGAGAAGACAAAGTATATAAATGATTGTAATGATGTGACTAGATAATACTGTGGGGTCATGCTCATCCCTTCAGCATTCTATTGCTTTGTCCAACTGATGTGATCAAAGGACCAGACCAGTAGGGTAACCATGTGTGGGGTTGAACGACCCTCCTGGCAACAGCATCAGTACTGTTTACCTGGATGGGGCAGGGCGGTATCCAGGTTGGGGCTGTGCAGGTTCAATGGCAGCATTGGAGCAACGAAAGCAGCCTTGCCAGTGCATGCACTAGCACAGCTCCAACTTTGCATCCACCTACCCCTGCTCCATCCCCATCTGTTAAAAAACGCAGATGTCAGGAGGGCGGTTCTGCAGATCTGCCCTACTCCATTTTCCATTACTGGCCCAGACGGCTCACCATTCACCAGGTTAAAAGGTAGGGCTCCTAAGTCCATTAAGCATGACTGAGCATATGGGAATTTCTGCATAAAAGTCAACAAAGCCAGAGCTTTTTTTTTTCTTTATCAATATATTATTATTTATTGGTCCATTAGGTATAGTCATGTTCTCTTTACTTACAGTAGAAATACTTATCTGCTCTGCTTTACTTACAGTGGGTTGAATCCCGACAAAGTTCTTTGAGGTTGGGTCCCACTGGAACCAATGGGGCAATTTAGTCATGGCACCACCAGTTTCGGTTATTTCAATGGAAACTATGTGCAACTAACTTAGTCCACATCCAACACAATGTCAGTAGACACTCTTCCAAAAACCAGAAGGATTTAAAAAAAAAAATACAGCCCAAGGCTCAGAAGTAGCCTAGTGCATGCCTCATGTAACTTACCGAGGGTGTTCGGTGGTAGGTGTCGCAAAGTGTTATGGGTGCCTCTTGCTTCAGAGTTAATGAGCCATCAATATCTTCCTGGTCACTTTCACTCCAGTAATCTGCTAAAAAGTGTTTGCATTTGCCATTGAAATGAGTCCTACATTAGGGAACATTTTTCAAAACACCACAGTAAGCTGTAGCTTACTGTGTAGTTATGCAACCTGGTAATTGTCCCCGAATGTGCAAGTTAAAAAAACACCATAAGAGCAGCTTGTTGGATCAGGCCTATTGCTTATCTAGCCCAGCATCCTGCTCTCACAGTGTCCAAGCAGGATCCAAGCACCAGAGCACTTTCCCTTCCTGTGGTTTCCAGCAACTGGCACACAGTAGCATTGCTGCCTCCAGCTGTGGAGGCAGAGCAGAGCCATCATGGCTAGCAGCCATTGATAGCCCTATCTTCGATGAATTTGCCCAGTCCTCTCTGAAAACCCTCCAAGTTGGTAGCCATAACTGCCTCCTGTATGTGTTGCGTGAGGAAGTACTTTATTTTATCTCTTATGAATATTCCAACATTCAGCTTCATTGCATATCCATGAGTTCTAGTGTTATGAGACAGAGAAACCTCTCTCTTTCCACCTCCAGGCCATGCATTTGTGTATGTGCAGGCTCTTCTTTTGTGCTGAATTTCTGATAGGAGGTTACCAGAAGGGACATAGACATAGGGGATACAGCCAGCAGGGCAGCACGGTTCCCCTATCTACGTGTTTATGGTTTACTTGAGGATGTTCAAATCTGTCTATTGTAATTGTATTTGTAATTCACATCACTTCTACCTGTTTTTACCAAGAATACTAACCATTCTGTTCCCACATTTAGGTGCACTACTAAGCTAGGGATATCTATTAACTCTGAGAGATCTACTCTGAGTAGGACTAGCATTGGGTATAACCCACTATCTCCAAAAATGCCAGTTTTCAGTACATCTTGTGAACTTCCTCACAATGTTTGGAGAGGTGGGAAATTCAATGGATACGTAAGCTCTGATCTGCATATATATATATATATATATATATATATATATATATATATGGTGTTTTATATAGGCATTCACAAATAATGAATTCCTAAAACATCCCTAAGCTCACTTGTAAGCAAGCATGTTAAGGGTCATGGATTCTCTACCCCACTCTGTACATGTCTCCGTTCATCCAGATGGATGTCAAAGAATAACGATGGCCTTACCTTCATCAGGTCGGATATCCTTGTCATCAGGTGTATAACCAATAGCTGCAAGACCCAAACGGTTCATCCATCTGATGACAGAAAAAAGAGACAAGGCATTTTAAACACACAAATACACACCCTGCTACAACTGTTCATTTAAAGCATTTAAAACCTGTTCTGAAAGAGAAACAGTTCCCAGGAAGGCTGGCAGATCGATACAAAACAAGACAATTGGCTATAAGCAGTGGCCTACAGTCCTTTATCACATAAAAAATAAATAAAAAAATTAACAGAAGAGTAAAGAAAGCAGAAGATGAGAAAATGATACATTTCAGAGTGCTAAAGACTACTCTGTCACCACCACTGTTTTTCTGTAGCTGGTTTAAGTAACATTTTCCATTTGACAATTAATACAGTACAGTGGTACCTTGGGTTGTCAAACGGCTTGGCTCCCAAACACCACAACCCCAGAAGTGTTCGGCTTTGTGAACATTTTTTGGAAGCTGAATTTCCGACGCGGCTTCCGACTGAGTGCAGGAAGCTTCTCCAGCCAATCAGAAGCTGTGCCTTGGTTTTCGAATGGTTCCAGGAGTCGAACGGACTCCCAGAATGGATTAAGTTCGACAACCAAGGTACCACTGTACTGGAATGGATGTGGAACGGTATAGCTGACTTTGTGAGGCAGGCATCATTTCCAGCTTTTAATTGCAACTGTGACATTATACAGATTCACAGTTGTTCTATTGTTTGGTTTTAAACTTTGGCTTGTTTGCTTTTTAAATTTTTGCCCACTGAAAGCAATGCCATCGGTCAGACTTAAAATAAAGGGGGGTCCTATGATGTGGGGTAGGCCTGAGTTATGAAATACACTTCCCCACCCCAACAACTTGGAGGACTGCAAAGAAAACCAACCAACCAACCAACCAACCAACCAAGAAAGATTCCCTTAAGCCATTGATTATTTAAAGGGTAGAGTGAAGCTTGCATGCCAGAAGCGTAACAGAAGAGGATTTTGATCCTCCTGTGGTTTGCACTTGTCTTTTAAGCTCAAAGAAATGCTCATTGACAGTGACGGCGTAGAGTGTTACTCTTCATTATTTTTTCATATATCGAAACAAGCGATCAACCCCCCCCCAAACAACCTTATAAACTTGAAGTTCTTCAGTGCCTGAATCTCAATCAGATACTACAGTTTCAATACTCATCCACTTTCTTCCCTCTCTGTATGCCAGGGACGCTACCAGTTTTACCTAGAAATACTGGGAATTGAACCTGGCACTGTCTAAGTTACGACCTTTCCCCAATGCTCAACTAGATGCTGAGTTAGTGGCCTGACTCATCTGTGCTTCTTCCTAGGTTCCTTTCCTTTAAAATAAAAGCCTGAAGAAACAAGGCAACTGTACTGTGTCACATTTATCCCTTGGGGGCAAATTGAAACAGAAGAGAATTGTAATAAGCTGCAAACGAAATTCTGTCTCTCTTTCTGGAATGGGGCAGGGATAGTTTCAGATGCCTGGAGTTGTGATGCTGGTGAGATGAGAATTAGTGACATTTAGAATTAGACTTACAGCCCTCCCGAGGACAAACTTCCTTGGACCAATTATAGAAACCTCCTTTTATTCCTTTGAGGCCTGAACAGATTTTCTGTACAGTATAAGCTATTAAATCCCCATGTAAAGATGGGAATTTTGCTAAAATAGCCTTGCATCCTTCATTTGCTAATTCATATTTTGCCCTGGCTGGTACCCCAATGATATAATTATTCAACTTCTCTCCCACCCTATATTCCATGCAATGGTCACTGTCATTAATAGCAGCAAGGATGTCTCTTAATAACACAATGAACATCACCCTGAATTGAAGTTGTTCAAACCCGTTTCATTTAAACATTCATCACTTGCATAACCCCTATTTTAAAACAGCTGCACAGTTTGTTTCTAGGCCCAATTCAAAGTGTTCATAGTAATGTTTAAAGCAGGGGCAAAAATAGGCTTTATTTCACCTGGTTCAAAGACCCAGTTTGACACCCCCCTTCACATCTGCATACATACACACACAGGTTGGAAGCTTGAATGTTGCCCCCTCTTGAGGCTTCACCCAGCGCAAAAAAACCCCAGCTAGCCCCTTCGTAGCTATGACACTGTTTAAAGTCTTAAAGTAACTTTGGCCCGAAATATCTGAAAGATCACCTCATTCTCTACAGACCCTCTTGGGTGTTAAAACTGGCAGAGGGGGCCCTCTTGGTAGTTCAGCCACCCTAAATAAATATGTTAGGGAGGGTGGCAGCCTGAGAGAGGGACAGCCCTTAAGCTGTGGAATAGCCTTCCCACAGACGTACATCCATTGTATAGTTTTCATCAAATGCTAATGTCACGCCTTTTCACCCTAAGCTTTGAAATCCGCCGTGCATATTTCTGGACTCATTCCAAAAGGAATTGGAATTTTCACGAATCTTCCGACATTCAGCTTCACTGGAGTTCTGGTGTACACACACGGATGCCACATGAAGGGTTTTTAACAGCCACTCTTACCAGGAGCACCAGCCCAACATCTCTAAATGAATACATATTTTCTGAGCCTTTTCCAGTTGCTGTTCCTGATGCATTTTCCATTATATGCAGGAGGGCATTTCTTATTAAAACCTCATTTGATTCACTTTGCATCCCCTATATTGTTATGCTGGGGCAGGGGGCGGGCGGGAATGATTTAACAGCAAGGGACTCATAGCGCTGAAGGACAATTTGATGTCAAAACATTATTTATAAATCACATTATGGAAGGCCAATATGGTTTGCAAACTGTGCGTGACTCGCCATTTATAATGTTAGGCAGCTCTATATCTAGAAAGCACCTCAAAACAGAGGCGCTCACGTGGCTGTAATTGCTTTGCAAAAGAATAGAACTGCAGTAGACTGAAGGCTTGGAATAAAATTACAACAAAACTCTTCTCCCCACACCACCCTGCAAATAGTATAGTAGGAAAGCTTATTAAGACTGCTTGGGTGGTTTTAAAAGAGAACATGTAACAATATTGTCTGTTCTGAACACTTCCTAAAACAGAAACTGAACATGAAAAATGAACGGCTGATCACAAACAAGCTTGCCAAACACCCGAATCAGCCGTAGGCATGCAGCCATCAAAAGATCACCGAGGAGACTCTTACATGTCAGGATTGTGATCTAGGATCAGGGCACCATGGCTTGGAGGCCAGCTCTGCACCTCCTCAATGTTCCTTATTTGTAAAGCGTGAGAAAGGAAACTCCAGTCTTTGGACCAAATTTGGCCAAGCACAGGTCTTGATTTGGCCTGCAAGACTGCGTCACACCCACCTGCCCCACACCTGACATCCTATGTGAGGTCATGTGTGGGGCACCTATAGATGCAGGTGGATGGGCTGCACAAATGAGTTCCCCACATGCAGCTGATCCCTGCAGAAAGCAGGGGCGAAGTCTCCGCCAACAGCTGATTCAGGGAGAGAGATTGTCCCGATCCAGGCCATAATGTCTCAAGGAGCTTGGCAGATACTCATTTCTAAGTTTTCTGTCAAGAAGAAAATGTATACACAGGGAGACTAAGCTGCCACTGCAACAGGAATAACAAGCGTGCTCCTTCCAAACATATAAAGTCTTTGCAGTCTGCCTTCCCCACTGCTGCATCTGTCACTGTTGTGGCATTTTAAAAAAAAGTAAATGAAGATCACCGACGGGAGAGATGCTCTATGTGTTTTCTCTGATTTGATAATTTGACATGATTTTGCTGATCTCATTTCATGCGGTGCCTGCTTAGGTTTGTCAAGCCAACAACAGAGGAATAAGCCCAGGACAGCTTAGCAGCTGAGAAGTGAACCATAACAATTCATGCTTTTGTGTGCATGCCTTCCACCTGCTTAATGGACTTTGACGAAAAACACACACCTCTTTTCATCCTATTAACTTTCTTTTCTATCCAAAGCCACTATAACCCCTTGCCTTAGTGCCAACACTAAGCTTTTCACACTTTCTATGGAAAATCCTCATTTAGAGAAAAAGTAGACTACTGCAATGCATGTGGAGCTACCCTTGTGTCTGGTGTGGAAGCTGCAGCTAGTGCAAAACTCTGTTGCTACGGCGCTTAATAGGAAGACACTCTGCTTTACACATATTATGCTGGTGTTGAAAAATATGCACGGGCTGTCTATTAGCTACTGAGCCAAACACAAGCTTTTGTTTCTGACATTTAAGGCCCTGAACAACTTAGGAGCATGATACCTAGCAGACCACATTTGCAGTACAGTGGTACCTCTAGTTACGAACGTAATTCTTTCTCGAGGTCTGTTCTTAACCTGAAACTGTTCTTAACTGGAGGCGTGCTTTCAATAATGGGGCCTCTTGCTGCCGCTGCACCACCAGCACACAATTTCCGTTCTCATCCTGGGGCAAAGTTCTCAATTCGAAGTAACTCTTCCAGGTTAGCAGAGTTTGTAACCTGAAGCATTTGTAACCTGAGGCGTTTGTAACTTGAGGTACCACTGTATAGCCCAAGATGATATTTAAGATCTTCAAAGGAAAACATGCTGGCTGTTCCATGATGCTGACTTGGTGACAATGCAGAAGAAGCAGGCCTTCTCAGTGACAGCCCTGAAGCTTTCACGGACCCTGACTGTTAGGTTTTATTATTGTTTTGCACACTGTCCAGTTTTATTTCTTTATATAAAGTTACATTTTGCTGTCATCTTGTTCTGAGGAAATTGCTGATAAGGCCTTATACAAACAGGAAGCCAGGTGTGCACTCACAAACACTCACAATACCCATGCAACATGCCTATGCAAGTTGCCTATGGTGTGCATGCATATTGCCTCCGAAAGTGTAGGCAGAACCATAGGCATTGTTGCTGTAGCCATGGATAGTGAAATTCACGGGGAATCAGGCTTTCAAATCCATCCAGGTTGGTGGCCATCACTATATGTTGTGGAAATGTATCCCAATGTGGCCTGTTGTGAAGTACTTTATTTTTGTCTGCCCTGAAGCTCCCAAACATTCAGTTCCACTGGATAGCACCAGTTCTGAATATTACGAGAGGGAAGAAAAAAAACTGCTCCCTACGCGCTTTCATCACACCTTATTCATAATCTCTATCATGTCATCCCTTAGCCACACATTGCTGGTGCCCCTGCTCAAACAAGTGTGCCAGGTGGAGGTGCACAGCAGCAAACAGTGGCAGCAGCAGAGGGGTGGGTGAGGACAGATGGAACTGATAGATGGCAGCCACTCCAGCCTCCTCCTACTCTGCCAACCCTGGTACTGGTAAGCATCCACCCAAACTACAACAGCCATGTATTCTGCCACATCACTGACAGTCCTTTGCTGGAAAGTGTCCTGCAGTTGGAAGGGCTGTCTGGTCTGTGAGCAGTTGGAAGATAAAAAAGCCCAAAGTAGGGAGAGCAGGAGGGGACTTTGCCCATCAGCAGTGAGCACCTGGGCGAGAGCTGGGAGGTTTCACTCTTCTGAGTGCGGAATAAGGGTTAAGGTATAATTGTGATAAGCCACCCTCAGATCTTGAATGACGAAAGGTGGTTCAGAACTTGAATAAATAAAATTTGAAAAGTGAGAAATAATAATAATACCTCAAATCTCTTTAACACTATTATTATTATTATTATTATTATTATTATTATTATTATTATTATCTTCTCCTGCTTCTTTTCTTTTTCTTTTCTCTATTTTTCTCTCTCTACCATTTTGGTTTCTTCCCCATCTATCTCTCTTAGATTGGTTTGGCTTTTATTGTATTCTATGTTGAAAACTTTCAATAAAAATTGATTATATATATAAAAAAACAGTGAGCACTTAGGCAGCAAAAGAACACAGGAAGCTGCCTTATGCAGAGTCAGGCCACTGGTCCATTCAGCTCAGTATCGTTTACCCTGGCTGAAAGGGGCTTTCCAGGATTTTTGACAAGGGGCATTCCCAGCCCTACCTGGAGTTGCCAGGGATTGAACCTGGGACTTCTGAATCAAAAGCATATGCTCCAGCACTGAGCTATGACCCTTCCCTAAAGCTGACTGAGTTCCTGACTACACATAGGAATGTAGGAAACTGCCTTAATACAGACTCAGATCACAACTGACTAGCAGCGATTCTTTAGGGTTTCAGGCGTGAGTCTCTCCCAGCCCTGTCTGGAGATGGTGGGGTTAGAACCTGGAATACGCAGAAACCTATGTCCTATTTTGGGGGGCAATATGCAAGTTGTTCCCCTAGGTCAGGAGGCTACAGCTGCCACTATCTTCATGTTCTCAAAATGCATCTGGGGACTGACGACGTTACATTGGAAGTGGAGATCAGAGGCATCAAGGATGGAAGTTGTATCTACCTGGCTTGGTGCTCCTCAATACCAGGCCATAATTTTTATTTTAAAAAGCTGAATGCTAGGGTCAGCTGCAGTGGGCCCTGGCATCTTTTACCAGAGATGCCAAGTATCTGTCTATTTGTATGAATTCTTGGAAGTCTGGAACAATCCCAAAGCAGATTTTGAACAGCGTGCCCAGTGGTCTTATTTTTGGGAAGCTATCCTGGATATAACATAAATGATTTCCATGATCTCTCCTAACAGCCTTCCATTTTGCAAAACCTTTTATGCTTCTCAGTAGGGGGAAAGCTGCACATTCAGAAAGGCAGCCCTCCTGCCAGCCATGCAATTCTCAAAGGGCCATGGATAGTGTACAAAAATTTCCTGTAAATCCAGCTAACATACACTTATAAAAACCTTTGCAGGAAAGCAGTGATGATCACTCAGCCTGCACTGGAAATAACTCAGGGTTGTTATTTGCAAACACATACATAAATAATAAAGAAAATTAAGACATCTTGATCTTGTATTGGTTTCCTTTAGGGCTGAGATATCACAACATTTACCGTTTTGCACATGCATTTATAGAAAATAATGCCCACCACGAGTTAACCCACTGTGTCCAATTTGGTAAAACAACAATAGTACAGCAATGGCACCTACCACTTAAGAGACATTCATATGCCCATATTGGAATCAGAACTCACAGAAACTAAAAGTCTGTGCAGTTCTACAAGTCCTGGTGCCTGGCTCCACATATCAGAGAGCCTGGTTTGTTCCCCGCATGTGATAGTGGAGAGGAGGGCACTAGCCTAGTCCCCGGGCCCATTCACGCACTGGCTTCAACTGGCTACCATGTTGCCTGGGCAGGCCTTACTTCCAGGAACCAATCAGCAGTACTGCTTGGCTCTTGGGAAGAAGGACATAGAGAACATGCTCTCTCTGGTCTGGCAATCCAGGCAAAACCAACAAATGAAGGTCTGTACATGCCTACAATTCCAAGCTGAAAGGAAGCACCACTACGAACAGATACCCCTAGGTGCTGATGGGGAAATGTCCTAGTACAAACTCGTAGTTTAGAAGATGGTAATAACAACAACAACGATAATGACAACAACAGCAAGAAGAGTTTTCAAAATTAGTTAAATGTTGTTGCAAAGCTTGATTTTTTTTAAAGTGTTTTTTCCTTTCTAGTTTCTCAACAGCTCACATCTGTTTAAAAATTGCAGCCTCCCCACCAGGGCTTTTCTTCAGTCTGAGCTGAAGGCAGAGTGAGCAGCAGTGCTATTTTTCTTAAAAAGAGATGCTAGATCTCACCATGAACTTCTCCCGTGTTCTCTTAGAATAGCAATGGTGCCCATCTGCCCCCACCCCCAGGGAGCCAAAGCCTCTTCTTCCTCCAGCTAAGTGTCCTCTGATGTCATCTTTAGCACGCTATCTGTAGGAGGTAATTTAAAGTGCTAATAACTTGCTGCTCTTCTTTACTTGGGATGAATGTGGGCAACCCCTGAGCTCTGTTTTTTCCTTTTAATCTCCCATTTTGATTTTTCTTTAAGCGACAACAAGAATCACAATCTTTGCTGATTTATTCAAGTGTAATAATTGCATGAAGAGTGTGACGCCAGGAAGGATCTCTCATTTCCAAACCTATTTGTGGTTTGTGCTATTTGTCTCTCTGCACAAGGCACTGAGTGACCGAGGCAAACTAGAAACAAATGTATTAATTTCATGACTAATTCATTGCAGAGAACATCAGTGTGCTTGTGCAGACCTGACAAAGCAGCATGGCAGCATTAATTTTGCAAACCAAACTCTGTCTGCAACAGTCAGAACAGCAGGAAGGGTTCATTGGAACAACTATGTGAATTGCCAGCAAGTCCCCACTCGTTGGTATTTAATCCTTTCATGACTTGCGCCCAGTGCAGATATAGCACAAGCCTTCCAGCAAATCATACACTGCAATTTTGAGGCCAGTTTTTTTTTGCATGGATGCACACTCCTAAAAACATAAGAAGCTCCCTGCTGGAACATACCAAAGGGGTCATAAGAACATAAGAAGAGACATGCTGAATGAGGCCAACGCTCATCCAGTTTAGCATCCTGATCTCACATTGGATAATCAGCTGCCTAAAAATTATTTGATTACAGTGGTACATTGGTTCTCAAACGTAATCCGTTCCGGGAGTCCGTTCGACTCCCAAAACCGTTCGAAAACCAAGGTGCGGCTTTCGATTGGCTGCAGGAGCTTCCTGCATTCAATCGGAAGCTGCGGAAGCCACGTCGGATGTTTGGCTTCTGAAAAGTGATCACAAACTGGAACACTTACTTCTGGGTTTGCGGCGTTCGGGAGCCAATTTGTTCGGGAGCCAAGCTGTTCGAGTACCAAGGTACCACTGTATTTGCATTTAAAAATACAATTCACACAGCTGGAAGCATTAGGAGCTTCAAGCAAAAGGACCCAGATAAGTTAAAGCAAGAGTTTATGTAAGTCAAGTACACAATGCAACTACACAATCACATTCAGCCTGTTGAGAGCCATGGAAATCTCAGCACACACGAAGGAGGAAACAGTAACGTTCTTCCGTCTGCTGCTCTGAATACATCAGAACAAAATTACTCTAGTATAATATCAATGTTTCTTACCTATTCATTTCTTCCAGGCAGTCAGTAGCAAAGTAGAAACTCTTAATTTTGGGGTGGCAAGCTTTGAAAGCACTGTGAGGAAAGCAGAAAGAGGGAAAAGATAACTGTCTTGAAGTTCTGAAGGTATTTGGGGAGTTGAACTTTAACAGCAAGTTACCTAGGGAAACCGATATTCTGAGAATCCTGTGTTAAGTTCCCTTTGAATATGATGTCAAGTTCTTTCCCAAATTAGAACTTGACAAACAGATGAAGAAGAAGCCAGGACTTTAGCTCTTTGTCTTTAGGAATTTCATCTTGAGTCCCACCTCTCAGAGGATGCAGTGGATACCCTGCTCATAATATTAATTTATGTGGAATGGTACCATTTTTTCTTTCTGTATCCATGTGCACAGTAAATCTATGCCGGCAATTAAAGGGTTTTTTCCCTTTTTCTTTTTTAAAAAGGAAAACAATCTAAGAGATGCATCCTTTCCGGCAATTTTATTGAAATTACCATGCAGTTTGCATCTCTCTGGTCACATGCTTCAGGTAACAGACACAGCCCAGGTTCAGTGCAATGCCCCAAACACAGCCTGTGATGTCCTGTGCCCCCTGGGATGTGTTGTTAATAGGCATTTGATAGTTAACCTTTTTTCTTGGGGACTGTGATCAGGTGTATGTGGGTTGGAGGGAGGCAAGGGAGGCTTCTGTCTGTAGCTTTTAGAATTTGCCCATTATTATTTTTAATACTTGTTTTAAATCTTATGCATATTTTGTAGGGTAAGATGCCTTGAGGCTTTTTATCAGGTGTCTAACAAATGATATAAATGCTAATGGTGATGATAGGAGTGCAGTCTTAAAGTTTAAAAAATAAAGAACTCCTACTAGAAGTAAAAGTATGAGAGAGGAACTAAGCAATGAAACTAGCATCTGCCACTCTCCACCTCCCCTCGTTGAACAAAGGATATTTTAGCAGGGCTCTTTTTGTTCCTAGCTCAAAGTCCAGGATGCGTCACTGACTAATTCCTTTTTCATAACACTCTCTTATTAAATGCCTTAGGATGGCATTCAACGAACTGGTTTCCTGAATTTTCATTATAAACTCATCAGACCAGGTCACTGCCAGCTTTACATGTAACACCCTCCAACGTGTGACCTTTTAGGAAATGAACTGGAAAACCCTTTCAAAGCAGCCACTTGCTGTTCGCACAGCAAAGTTTTTTGGTTCCTCCCGCCCCCTCCACCTCTCTAGCTTACATTCCCTGGCACGACAGCTCTCTGATGGCATTTGCAGGTAGGGGACAGAACTAAAAAGCTATGTCTGAGTCGTTGGTCCTGACTGGTGAGTGAGCTGAAAAATGGCTCACTAGAGAATTGGCTCTGTAGGAATGCAAAAGCAAGAGCTACATGGATAGGTGTGACAAAGATGGGGTGATATTCTAAATAAATGAGTTTGGAGCCCAGGTTTCTTGTTTCTTTAAGCATTTTGCCAATCACAGGCATTTTGCCAAGACTGATGCATTTCAAAGTGGCAGGGATTTACAAAGCAATGGAAATGCCACTGTGATGGAATTAGGAGAGTAAATGAGCAGCTAGCTGATGTTCTGATCTCTGTCCTTCGAAGCTTGCCAAGAAAAGGCACCCCAGCCTTGTCATTGTGTCCTCGGCCATCAAAGAGAGCTTCGTCCTACTGACATTTTCTTCCTCATACAGCTTTTGCCGCACAGCGCATGCTTCCCCAATCCAGATATATCCCACAAGTCCTCCCTGTGGTGAAGTGGGCTTACTTGAATAAGACTGGCAACATGAAAGGCAGTCTGCGTGTGAGCACACAACTCAATGGCACTTTCTTTTGAAGCCAACCAATAATAGCTTCCTAAGGACTATTATTGGCTTCTCCTCATTATTTGCTTAGTGTCTGGATGTGCTGCAAGGAGATGGCCCACACAAAAGAAGAACAGGTCTCCAGAAAGTGTAGGAAACCAGGAATCGGCACTTGCATCAAATGACTTGTTGATTCACATTTTAGATACAAGGAAGGGCCCCTCTGAGCTTCTTTCCCATGTCTGAAGAGGTGTTCTTATTGAACTCTCATAGAATCATAGAGTTGGAAGGGACCATGAGGGCCATCGTCCAACCCCCTGCAATTTAGGAATCTTTTGCACAACATGGGGCTCAAACCCACAACCCTGAGAGCAAGAGTCTCATGTTCAGGGTCAACTTTCTATATTGTTTATGGTAATGAAAGGATATGGACAATAACCTGCTAAACTCCCCCCCCATTAGTCAAAAACATTCTAACTGGAATGGATCTGATCAACACTTTTCAAACTAAATGCTTGGATCAGAACTTGGTTATTCGCCAGCTCCCACACTTCCCGAATGCTCCAAGGTGGTTCTGAAGCCCCAAAACCGATTGTTTCAAAATGTGTTATTAAAATGTGTATTTTGAAAGAAGATAAATATGTAAAGAAGTAAAGAAGTAAAAATATGTGTTTAAATGTAGATTTCTGTGCAGTTTTTTTAAAAAAGAAAAAAGGTTGCAGAAGGGATAGCTCCAATCAATTGAGCAAGAGATTCTTAATCTCAAGGTTCGAGCCTCTCCTTGGGCAAAAGATTCTTGTGTTTCAGGGGGTTAGAGTAGATGACCTGCGTGGTCCCTTCCAAATCTACAATTCTAGGTCAAAATGGGACAGAATAGACTGATGAGTGAGCACATGTGAAGCTGACGCGGAGTGGAAATAGGCATATCTGTCCATCCTTAAAGAACATATAACAAAGGAAGGACAAGTCTTAAAGAGAATGGAATATTCTGACAGTGTGCACTAGATGGCAGACGTCTGCTGTTTAGCTGAGCTGCACAAAGCAATGCTCTATGAAGTGCAATTGCTCCGAGAAAAAATTGGGGGGAAATAAGCTGCCACCAGAAGTGTGGTTAGGTCCTTACACCAGAGTGGGTATAAGTTGCCCTGTTAGGCCAGCCCTGGATTTTCATGTGCCTGATCCTGCGAGTGCAATATCACCAACCTAATGAATGTATGTTGAGAACACAACATTTGAGAAGAATATTGACAGATCAATGTTAGATAGGTAGTGGTCCCAGTGCTGGCCCCATCAGACAAAGGACCCTCAATGGGACCTTGTAACACGAAAGAGGTTGTGTGTGCAAGCCAGGAATTCTCTCACTCTTAAATCATATTCCTGTGGTGCGGGGACTAACAGATCCCACAGCAAAAGTGGACCCTGCAAGCCCCTGTGACTGCAAAGAGATTTGTACTGCAAGGCTGGAAGGATGAACACCCACCATCTATTACCCAGTGGTCTGAAGATGTCATGCTCGAAAGCATAGCTTATATTTGTCAGACTCATTCTGAAACCCATTTGGGCATATGAACTGCCTATGTTGCTTGTGTTTAAGTTGGGATCAATGGACTATTCTTACTGTTAATGCCAGCAGATGATGTTTCTTTTTTCTTTATATATGCAAAATTTTAATTTTATTTTAGATTCTCTCATGCTCCCACCCTGGCCCTCTTTCTTGACTGTGGTTTGCCAAGTGATTTTTTAATTTTATTGCTGGGTAGATGAGCAAACACCTCATCTTGCCTTCCTTTTATGTCAGCTCCACATGTACTGGGAAAAACTCATTTGCAATACTGGCAACCAATCGTGCTTTTGTGACAACGTTCTGATGCAGTATGGTCCGACTGCTGCATCTTCCTTTCTTTTTCTAAGCTACATTGCAAAAATGGGATGCAGCAACCATGTTATTGTTACTATTTGATTTGTGTGGGTTGTTAAACATCTTGCAAAGCTGCAGCTCCCAAGAGATTATCCTGCTATCTAGGGAAGTTGGATTTCTGGTCCTGAGATTTCAGGCTGCCAGAGGCAGAAGAGTGATTCTTGCAGATTTTCTCTCTGCTTTGCCTTTAGGCCTGTGCAGTGACCTATTTCTCTCCCTTTGATGTGCTACCAAATCAGTGAGTGAATGAATGTTTACTTGTGTATGAAACACAGGTCATTACATCAGATGAAAAACCAATACAAAGCAGTGACAAATCTGGTCTCCAAAATGTTAACCGATTTCTGGATGCTGCTAACATGCTTACCCACAATTCACTATAAAACAACAAGATCCACAGGCCCCATCTGTTACCATACATTTAAGCCATTATGATACCACTTTTAAACAGTCACAGCTTCCCCCAAGAGTTCTGGGAACTGTAGTTTGTTAAGGGATCTGAGAGTTGTTAGGAGACCCCTATTCCCCTCACAGAGCTACAATTCCCAGGGTGGTTTAATAATCAATTCCTCTTCCCAGGCAATGCAGAGGACTGCAGGGGGCACCCTAACAACTCTCACCATACTACATATCCCAGAATTCATGGGGTGGGGGAGTGATGCCTCTTTAAAGTGTTATCTTAGGGTTTTGAATGTCTAATGTGAATGTGGTCTTAGAATATCTTATCTGCCAGGCACGGAAACTGCTGGGCTGACATTTCTGATAATTTTCTTATTTGAGTTCTATTCTGCTGGACAATTTCAACAGATAAGTTGGTAGAGACGAAGGAGTGGCTGAGGTTGTGCTTTGCATTTGGAAGGTTCAATCCTGGGTATCTCCAAATAGGCGAGTCTTGTGCCTTAAACCCTAGAGTGCTGTTTTCTGAAGACTTTACTAAGTTAGATGTACCGAAGATGTGAAGAAGCTGCTGATGTTCCCATTTTTTGGGACCTGAGGATCCAACCCAACATATAATATTGCTGAAGGGGCTTGATCCCCTAACTCCTTCTAGCCTTCCTCTAAGCCCATCGCTTATGAACAAACAGTAAGTTTTAACTGAGTTTAAAATTTCCCAGCAGGTAACTTTTTTCACCCCCATTCTCTGCATGGATTGGCTCTTTCATTTGCAGGCTCTTTTGACTCATACTTACTGTTTCCTCCTGCACTCGATGGCTCTGTCTATCCTGAACTCTGGCAAACTGATGAATCCTTCTGCTTTTTCATCCTATCATGAAAGAAAGAGAAGAAATACAATTGGCAAAGAGCAAAAGGTTGAGAGAGGAGATTCCATTCACTCTCGTTATCCTAGATACTGAGTTGCCAGATCACTGAGCAAAAAGCTACGGTTAATAATGAATCTGTTTGCGGATGACCTTTAAATATGAGCACTTTCAGTGGGTAGACGGCAAGTTCGAAACTATTAATAACTTAGTGCTTCTCAAACATTTGCACTGTGGTATTTTTTCCCACCCTTTGTGTGACGGATAGTGCTTTCTGAAGTAAAGTTCTGCTGCAGTAAAGTTCTAGCTTATGCCACAATCAAAACCAGAGTTTATTTTATTTTATATTTAAATTTGTATCTCACCTTTTCTCCAAAGAGGTTATGGTAAAGGAGTTTTCATTAAGGGTGAGCCAAAGACAGTTACAGTGGTACCTCGGGTTACAGACGCTTCAGGTTACAAACTCCGCTGACCAGAAAGGGGTTGCTCCAGGTTAAGAACTTTGCCCCAGGATAAGAATGGAAATCGCGTGCCAGCAGTGCAGCAGCAGTGAGAGGCCCCATTAGCGAAAGCACGCCTCAGGTTAAGAACCATTTCAGGTTAAGAACAGACCTCTGGAACGAATTAAGTTCTTAACCTGAGGTACCACTGTTCTGGTTTTCTGGACATTTCTGTACATACAAATATGCACGCTCCACTTTTAGCAATATTTTTCTTTTTGTTTCAGCAATTCAGTCAAAAGTGTTCGTTGGTTTAGGAAGGATTGTTCTCGCTTACAATTAACATAATTTGCCCTCAGTGATCACACTGCCAAATCTGAGTGGCTGCATAAATTATTACATTTATCAATTTTTTTGCTTCTTGAATGTTAAACAATAACACATATACAACTCCTCCCCCCTTAATAAAAATGTTGCAGTGCAGAGTACAGCCATGTTATATAACACATCAAAAAAGGAGAGGATCTAGAATATCCAATATAACAAAAAAAGTACAATATCAGAAATCAAACCAGCCAAAATATTTTATATGCTGTAGGAAACTGCCTGTTGTCCATCTTGTTCATTCAAAAGTATAATAAGACAGTGCCATGCTGTGTAGCATTCTGATGTCAACTTTTCCGTTATGTGACCCCCTGGCCCAACTGAGGGGAATTGACTGTCTGATGGCTCCAGAGAGCACTGCCTTCACTCTCAGTTGGCTTTGCTTGCCTTCACCAACACCCTTACAGAGTCAAATTTGATTGACTTTTTAGTTTCCGGTGGGTTTGGAAAGGTATTCACTATGTGAGGAAACCTTCCAACCCTAATACCAGGAAGGTGCAGGAATCTGGAAAACTTCCACAGCTATATTTATTTGTGTACAACAGGTCAACAACTCAGCATAGCAGCTAGGACTTGTTACATAGGCTAGACTAAGACTCCTACTGAGATGTGGAGATGATGGGAAGTCCTGGGCAAAGTGATGTATGATGCTTTGTTTACAATGAATGTATGAACAACATTTGCTTGGGTGTGGACAAGCTCTCTCCTTGATGCGGTGTCCATCCCACATTTGTAAAATCTGGCAGACCTGGCAGGCTGCTTTGCTGTAAGTCCACACCTTTCTTTAATAAAGCACCTGCACTGATCCCTCTGATGTTTTTGACATCCTTCTTTGGTATCCCTGCAACAAACCACTCCCACAAGTCCTCCTTTAGACCTGAGGTTCAGAACATCCTACCCCCTGCAGCAACAAAGACCCAGTCTGTGGCATCTTCTGTGTGACTGACCTTCAGGTATTTGATTTGAAATAGTGTGACTCCACTTCGTTGTCTCTTCTGCAGGCTAAACATACACTGGCTCTTTCAACCATCCCTCATAGGACTTATTTTCCAGACTCCTCACCATTCTGGTCTCCTCGCTTTGAACATTTGAATAGGCTCCAGTTTGTCAGTGTTGGGAGATTGAATCGCAGTTCTCCTGCATCATAGGCTGTTTGTGCCTCAGCTGCTTGCTCTCTTCTGCTTGGGTCTTGGCTTGCAGATGGGAGTCAGCAGCTGGGACCCCTGGCAGTGATTGCATTGCCCCTTTCCTGAAGCTCAGCTTGAAAGGGAGTTGGGCAAAGGCAACACTTACTGCATTCACTTCAGAGCAGCACACATGGTTTCCTCCATACACATGCCCCATTTTATCTTTACAACAACCCTATGAAGCAGGTTAGACGGAGAGATTGTGATGGCCCAAGGTCAACTAGTAAGCTTTGTGGCCAAGTCATAACCCAATCTGGGGTCACTCTAGGGATAGGGAACTTCCAACCACAGACCTAACTAGGCCTAGCACAGGCCATAGTATGGTCCACAGAGCTGTTTTCCCCAAACCACCCGCAATGGTTCCACACCTGAAAGGGGGAAAATTTGCAGCTGTAGTTTGAATTCAGACTGCACCCATAAATTGATTTCAAAGAGGCTCATGATGGGCAGGGGAGGTAAGAATCTATCCCACTTGCCAAATCAGGTTCCTTAACCTTTGGTTAAAACACCTGCTTCCAGAAAGTTTCCAGAATCTGATTCGGTATAAGGCAGCTTCTTGTGTTCATCATAGACAGCTGCTTTCGTGGGTGGCTGACATCCTCTTAACCATTAGAACGGAGAACCCAAATATAAGCCTGTCTTTCAGCACTGAGAGCTGTTAATTTCCCGTGGAAGTATTCAAGTAACACATATTTACTTTTTGTTTAATGTGATTTTTGCTCACACTCTGTACGTGTAGGCATCTCAGAAAAGCAATCATTCACACTATGGAGCGGGTGCTGTTATTGCCCACTTTAATCTGAGGATAATCTCTGGCTGCAGTGGTACAAGCTGAAACAGAAGGCAGGTAACTACCTTTGCTGATTGATCACAATGCCAGGTAACCTCCTTATTCATATTCAAGTTGCAGATATGGAATTACCCGATAAAAGCCTAAGCTTTACATATGGAAATAAATCTCACCTTGATATTCCCCTCTCCCTTATTTTTATTTTACTCAAGACAAATTCATTTACTCATTCACTGCCCTCTCATTGAGAGCTGGTACAAATTGGTGGCTAAAAAGAAGACGACACACCATGCATCCTATTGATGTTTACCCTAAAGTAAGTCCTGCTGTGTTCAGTGAAATTGACTCCCAGATAAGACTATAAAAGACTGAAGCCTGAGCTATGAATCAGGATGTTCGAGTCCAAATTTCACTCCAGCCATGAGCTTATTTGGGGAACTGCATATGGCCAATGGGCCTGGTTCTTACATCCTGAGGACCAATTCTGACTGGCTTGACACCACAATGACATCAGGTGACCTGTTTTCCTTTGCCTGAGTGGTTTGAAATCAAACTGCCCACATAAAGACACAGCACATTGCAAACGCCAACCACCAGCTGATTGGTGGTGCCTGCAAAGCTGGGATCTACAGGGATCATGCTCTTTACCTGCTTCATATCAACATCATATATGACATCAGGTGTAGGGCAGGTGAGGATGGCTTGGCTGAAATAATCTCCCACACTTTCTCCTAATATCTGCATTTGGCAGATGGTTTTGGGTTGGAGAACTGCATCACAAAGTTAGGAGAAGATTGTTTGTTACAGGAAGTCTAAATGAAGTAGGTTTGCATTACATTGCAAACTGAACCAAATTTCTCCCCTATCCCCACTTTTGGGTAGACATGGAGAGGATCACACTAGAAGTGTGGATGAGCCCTTACACTAGTCCTGTGCCTAGGAAGCCTGGGTCTGAGAGGTTCCCCACTATTCCCCCCACTTTCCCCAGGAAAACCCACTGTTTAATGCTGAATTGGAACAAACGGTAATCCACAGAAAATAAAATTGTTGTTTGTTCCAATTCAGTGATAACAGTGCGTGACTCCGAAGGAAAGTGGTGGGACAAGCAGACGTGTGGACAAGCTGATAGTTGCTATTTGGTCTCAGGAACATTTGCATGGCTGTATTAGCAGATACGCGGGTGGCACTGTGGGTAAAAGCCTCAGCGCCTAGGGCTTGCCGATCGAAAGGTCGGCGGTTCGAATCCCCGCGGCGGGGTGCGCTCCCGCTGCTCAGTCCCAGCGCCTGCCAACCTAGCAGTTCGAAAGCACCTCCGGGTGTAAGTAGATAAATAGGGACCGCTTACTGGCGGGAAGGTAAATGGCGTTTTGTGTGCTGCGCTGGCTCACCAGTTGCAGCTTGTCACGCTGGCCACGTGACCCGGAAGTGTCTCCGGACAGCGCTGGCCCCCGGCCTCTTGAGTGAGATGGGCGCACAACCCTAGAGTCTGGCAAGACTGGCCCGAACGGGCAGGGGTACCTTTACCTTTACCTTTATTATCAGATACAGTGGACAAACAGCACAGATTCTTTCCACAAAGCACCAGTGCCGCCATGCACCACTCGCTGAACTAACTTACACTTAGGATACTCATTTTAAAATGCGGAAATCCTCTATGTGCAGTTAAATGCAGACCCACGCACTGATCTGTGAAGACGCATGGGAAGTAACATTTAGATTGGCAAATTGGAAGGATCTTGGTGATCAGAGCTATTCTAATGTATGCATACATGCGCACATATGCCCAACTCTCACAGTACTTCCTGCATGCATTGTTTAGCAGGGTCTGAGTCCATCCATGTATGGAGAATTTCCACAATTAACCACTGTAAGCAAGAATGGCAACAAAAATGTTGCTGAATAGAGTGCTCCTGTTAGGGAGGCTTCAGCAATTCAATCTGCAAATTCTGATGTCAACTGACCTGAACAGCACACCCTGGACTCTGACTAATGTGCAGAGAGGAATCTAATTATCCTTTAGATTTCATGGTTCTCCCAATTCTTGGGATGCAGCTCTCAGCTCAAAAATTGTACCAACAACGTATTTTAGGATAGAACATACCTGTAAATATGTATTGTGTGAGAAAATATGTTCAAAGCCACATATTTAAACACACATTCTCATGATTTTGTTTTCTATTTGCTGATCAGTGTAGAAGCATGACGGATCTGAGTTCTAAATGAACACAAGCATCGTTGACATTGTTCAGGATTGCAGCCAGGACATTCCATTCTATTTCCAAATCTCCCTTAGTTTCATTTTTCCTCCTTAGAATTATCAGCACCTCCTGATCAAAATGCATGCTCTGCCCTCACTGGCCTCTTTGGGGTGACAACTCCCCTTCAGAGCCCACCCTTCAAATATTTTTGTACTTCTGCAAGCTTTGGGGCTTTCCCAAGCCTGCTGGTATCCCCAACTTGTGCAATGATGGCACCATTTTTGCAACATCAGGACCAACACTCTGAGAACTGAGATCACCGATAGCATATTTGAGTATGGTGAACTTGTCTACACACACAGCAACTGCTTAGAAAGCACCTCATTTTTTCTTCTTCTCCAAGGGCCCAGCAGTTTCCCACTTGATCCATGCTTTCTTGCCATAGGTCTAAGTGGGTTTCTGCTTGCCTTGCTCTGTTCCCAGGGAAAACCTGCTCTTTAGTGCTAAATCAGAGCAAACATCAATCTGAATGCAACTGCCAAAGAGCAGTTTTTCCTGGATAGAAAGCAGTGGAACAAGAGGAAGCGTGGATGAACCCTAAAGGTAAGCAACTGAATCTCTCTGCCCATATACAGTGGTACCTCGCAAGACGAATGCCTCGCAAGACAAAAAACTCACTAGACGAAAGGTTTTTCCGTTTGCGAGTTGCCTCGCAAGACGAATTTCCCTATGGGCTTGCTTCGCAAGACGAAAACGTCTTGCGACTTTGTTTCCTTTGTCTAAATAATAATTCGCAAGACGAAAAATTCGCTAGACGACAAAACTTGCGGAACGAATTAATTTCGTCTTGCGGGGCACCACTGTATTCATTTTGAGATTTTTCTTTTCTGCATTGTGGTAGGTACTCACATTCTGGTTAGTGTACCAGTAGAGGGAAGAATCCTTCAGGACGAACCAGTATTTTTTCCACTTCTGGGTGAAGTAACCTTTGGCATCCTTCTTCTTCCACAACCAACCCTCGCAATCTCCATGCCCCAAGTCTTTGCAGGATATCCTTCGTCTGCTGCTGTTGTTCAGCGAACCTCCTTGAATGGAAACGAGAACATGAGAACTTCCAAAAACAGGAGAGAGGGCAAGTGTAATCCTTAAGGGTGAATGATAAACATGATATAAGATTCTCAACGGAACCCTTTTAAATAAGAGGGACATTCATATGCAATTGTGAAATCCTTGCAGCATTTTATCCATCTGATTCATGGCGTTCATAGGGTGCAAAGGGCAGCCTGCCACATTTCTGAATCCATGTACATGCTTTGGTTTCCCTAATCCTCATTATTAATTCATTAGCATTTTGGAGCTATTTTTTCCTGAAATACAAATTTTTGCAAGCAATTCCCCCTAATGCAGTTTATTTGTTATTTTTATACATACATTCATTTGGGTGCACTTGCTCCTAATATATGCAGTTATTTACATATTTTTTTGAATGGAGAATTGCATTGAAAAAATTGGAGAAGTGCAAATATTGAAGTAGAGTTGCATGTTGGTTTGTGCATTTGTGTTGGAAAGGGAAATTTAGGCAGGTTTGCATTAAAATGTAAACAGAGCCAGATTTCTGCAGACAAGGAGAGGAAAGACCCCTGTTTAAAACCCCAGAGAGCAGATAACACTGAGCTAGATCCACCAAATGGTTTGGCAGTGGTATAAGGCAATGTCTTACATTCCTAACAACTCTGTGGTATCTGTTACTTTCATGGTTGAAAAGGGATTTGAAAGTGGATCTCCACAAACAAAATCAGATTCTATCACTATACAACTAATATTTACAGCAGCCCTATAAGGTAGGACAGTTTTATTTCCACCTTTTGTACAGACAGGAATGGGGTGGGGGGGAAGAAGGAAGGAAAGCAGCATACCTAATCGAAATATATAAAGAAATTGTCCAGTAGCACCTTAAAGGTAAAGGTAAAGGGACCCCTGACCATTAGGTCCAGTCGTGACCAACTCTGGGGTTGCACCGCTCATCTCGCTTTACTGGCCGAGGGAACCGGCGTACAGCTTCCAGGCCATGTGGCCAGCATGACTAAGCCACTTCTGGCAAACCAGAGCAGTGCACGGAAACGCCGTTTAGCTTCCTGCTGGAGCAGTACCTATTTATCTACTTGCACTTGATGTGCTTTCGAACACATGCTAGGTTGGCAGGAGCAGGGACCGAGCAACGGGAGCTCACCCTGTCGCGGGGATTTGAACCGCCAACCTTCTGATCAGCAAGTCCTAGGCTCTATGGTTTAACCCACAGACCAACTAAGTTTGTTCTTGGTATAAGCTTTTGTGTGCATGCACACTTCTTCAGTTGGAGAAGGGTTATGGCTCAGTGGCAGAACACTTGTCTCGCCTGCAAAAGGTCCCAGGTTCAATCCCTGGCACCTCCAGATAAGACTGGAAATGTCCCCATCTAAACCTCACAGAACAGCTGCCAGTCTATATAGGCAATATTGAGCTAGATGGACCAATGGGCTGACAAAGTATAAGGTGGCTTCCTAAATATGTGGCTGGGGTTTTGGAAGTTAGTACCTGCCAGCTCACACTCGGGGTTCGGTCTAAAAGTTCACTCAGCAACTTCTTGAACCAGACACTCGTAATATATGGATGGTCTGTCTGAGTGTATTAAATGAATATTGGCATCAAGTGATTTCTCCAGTTAGATTTATCAGTTTCCCAGCACATGGGATGCACTGCATTGGTGGTTTGACTTCTCTCCCCTTTTGAAACCGAATTACCAAATGTAGAGCAAGGCTGATCTGGACACAAATGTCTGTTAAATGCTGTTAGCCTCTCTCGATTCCCGATTTCTTTATAGTTCACATAACATCAGAGGACGCTATAGATGATGGTGATTAAAAAGTGCTGCGACTTCTCTGTCTGATCTCTTTTTAACCAAGTAAGAAAGAATGGTCAGTGTATAGCAAAAGTATTTTTCAATAAAATCTGAGTCTAATTCATAAGGAGTACTTTGGCTTTATAAGGCTGATACTGGATGTACAATTTATTTTCAACATTTCAGTGCATCCCACTTCATAACTCTTAACGTTTTATTCTCCCTTTCTTTCTCTATCACCAGAAAGAGACCCCCTGCCCCTAATATTCATATCACTTTCCCTTAAACGCCTTGGGCAAATTTAATTAAAACATTAGACTATTCACTGTGAAAAATTGAGTTTACATTGTTATATTAATTATATTTGTCCTACAGCTGTGAAGCAGAGTCAAGAATTTAGATCACATTAAATTACTATCCTTTCTTCTTTGGCATCCAGCAGCTAAGCTCTGAAAAGTTTATTCCTTTCTTGAAGTGACATTCCAGCCAGTTTTAGAAGAACTGCAGAACACATAAGCTGGAACTAAAGGATTGGGGTCTTGACAGCTAATAACAACCATCTTTCCCCATCTCTGTTCATTGAGATTTATCATCTGAATACCTTCGGTGACTGTCCTTGTCTTCTGATATTAAGGTGGGTGGTGAAAGGGACAGGACTCCTTTTGCCTCATCTTTGGAACATGCTCCTGAGAAATATCTGCTGTTTGCTTGACATCTCTGTATTTACCAGTTAGAGGACAATCCCTACATAGAAGTTAGTCCTACTGAGTTCAATAAGACTTATTTCCATGTAAGTGTGTACAGGATTGCAGCCTACGGTACCAAGTGAATTACCTGCTCTTCCTAATGCGATTCTAAATGCAAGGTGGATTTGAACATCCAAATATGACTTACAAGGTGCTTTATGCTAAAGCTCTGCAAATGCAGGGCTCCCCCCCACACCCAGTCGGAACTCAGTTCTGGCACCTCTCAAGTGGGAGCCATTGCAAGAGAACAAGGGAGGTGTTCATGCTGAGTTCTGGCACCTCTTTTTCAAGAAAAATAGCACCGTGCTACAAATGCAATGCTTTCACAAAAGTGGAACCTTGATTTCCAAGTTCTGTAAGGAATATGTAAGAAGATGAATAATTAAAACAACTTACCTTTGGGCCATTTCTTGCTTTTTACCCTCAGGGAAGCATAGTGAAATGACTGGAAGAAAACACGAGAGAGAGAGAGAGAGAGAGAGAGAGAGAGAGAGAGAGAGAGAGACTGGTCAGTTATTGGCATGTGGAATGTTGAGCTAAGCCATTGTAGAATAAAAGTCAATGCTTCATAATGGCAACATACATTACTGCTTCCAGCTGGGATTCCACTCTCCCTCTCCAAAATATTGCCATTCTTAAAAAAACCAAACAAACTTCCATGCCAGCTGTTTAATAAGAATTACATATATTCTAACAACGGATAGGGTGAAGACACACATAATACCAAGTGTGGTGGAAGTGGCTTAAAAATACATAATTGTCATGGAGGCAGGCAAGACTTGAGTCAGGAGGAGGAGCAGCCTATAGAGTCCTAGATACCCATATTCCCTGCAGAAGGGCAAGCCCTCTTCCCCTTATATTCAGCCTGAGGCTAGCAAAGTAGAACAGGGGTGGAGAACCTCAGGCCTGTCAACCTAATGTGGTCCTCCAAGCCTCTGTATCTGAACCTCAGGACTCTCTGCAGGTTACTATCCCCTCCACAGCCACACATCTCTCTCCCAAGCCACACTGGTCCAGCTTTGCATCCTCCCTGTTTATGCCTGTCTGGGATGTGTCACTAAACTCTGATAATGCATGTTGCTTTGCATGATGGAGAATAAAGAGGTGTGTATGTGTGTAAAAACCAGCCTGCTGGACAAGGAGGGAAGTTTGCATTAATTGATCCACCCACTTTTTCCTCTGCTTCCACCCACTACTGATCCCCCAAAAGGCTGCCCAGAAGGCAATGTGGTCCCCAATCTGAAAAATATCTCCCAGCCCTTAACTAGAACCTGAGGCTCATGAGCCAGGACCTATACAGATGACCCTATGAAGAATGATACCCCTCCCCCAAGGAATCTATCACACCAAGCACCTCCCACTTCACAACTACTATTCATTGTTTCAGGGAGCACAATGGGCATGAAGTAACAGTAAAGCAACAAAGTGCTCAGCTCCAAGTCAGAGGACTCTCCCTTTATGAAATGCCACTCGTATTCCAAGGTGGTGAAGCCTGGGAGGAATAATCCGAATTTATAATCCCTCCATTGGGATCACTCAGAGGTATCTGAGGTCCTGCAACCACGACACTGCCTGCTACTTGCGTGGCTACAGGATCCCTAAGTGCCCCCATAAGCCTTCTGGGCTACACTTATTAGAAGGAAGAGACCAGTTTGCTGTCCTGCACAGAAACACCTCAGAATGCAGTGAATGCGCTTTCAACCTGGAGCTGTGCTAAAATCTGACCTCCAGTTTCTCTAAAGTCCCGCCCCCCTTCTGCATGAAAGAACCTTCAATTTGCCTGCCTCAGTATCAGGACAATTCTATTAGAATTCTGGTGGGTGTGGAGTTTTGAGTATCTCTTATTGTTGCTAAGTGGCCAGGGCCACAAGTGGGATATACACTTTTATTTTAAGGAAGCACTTCTATAACACTCTGCAGCCTCCTTGGGTGCCTGCACTTCCTGACCTGAAACAGCTACTTCCCGTTGTTTTCATCTTGGCTTAGATGAAGGGAGGGCAACCGGGAAGGCTGTAAAGTGCAGGCTGCTGGTGAGATGATTTTTAGAAAGCTAGGAAGGTCATTCACAAACAACACCCTACAGAAGTATGGTAAGCATGACAAAAATTCTGCACCCCACCCATGAAAATTTCAATTATTCTTTTTTTAAAAAACCTGTCCCCTTTCATAATTTTTGAAAGCAATTTCTTTTATCGCTACCTGATGGAGAAAGGTAGGAGAAAAATGCAAGAGAAACTTTCAGAGTGGAGCTATTGCAAACCACTCCCAGAGCACTTCAGAGCATATGCTTAGCCTGGTCTACACACACAGCAGGCACACAGTAGAATGAGGTGGTAGAATGCTAAGGTTGCAAAATGGACTGTACCACTACAGGAGGTGGGCTATATTTTCAAATTGCCCTTGGGGAGTGGGAGTGGGGAGTCCTCCTGCAATTGGAAACTGTCACAAACACCAAATGGACTGGGTAGTACCTATTTTCCCCTGGTGTGTCTTGGAGCATTTAGTTTTTTGAAAGGGGGGGGGATTAAAAATTGGTATCCACACCTGTAGGATGAAATGGTACAACCCAATCTATCACCTCATGATTCCAATCATCGCATTCTGCTACATGTGTAGACTAGTACTAGATTTGCACCCTAAAACTGCAGTCGTGAATATATAATAGATGGAATAACTTGAATCACATGGGATTTGTACCTTTTCATTCCACAGTAAATCATTCAGACCATGACAGGACTGGTTCCACCCAGTGAGCCCTGAAGGTGGTGCTGTTTGAGTATGGAGAGGATATAGATAATTTTTTAATGTATTTTTTATGTTAATTTATCGATATGGTCTTATTATGAATGCAAACCAGTTTGAGATCCTTTGAATAGTAAACTGGTCTATGAACAGATAAAAGAGACAAGAACGTCTTGTTTCCAGTGGGAAGCCAACTGTGTGGCAAGAAATGCTGTTCTGCCCCCACAGGGTTCAGTTATTTAGTGATAGCAAATCTATGTACAGTGGTACCTCGGGTTAAGAACTTAATTCGTTCTGGAGGTCTGTTCTTAACCCGAAACTGTTCTTAACCTGAAGCACCACTTTAGCTAAGGGGCCTCCAGCTGCCACCACGCCGCTGGAGCACGATTTCTGTTCTCATCCTGAAGTAAAGTTCTTAACCCGAAGTACTATTTCTGGGTTAGTGGAGTCTGTAACCTGAAGCGTCTGTAACCTGAAGCATCTGTAACCCGAGGTACCACTGTACTGTACAGTCATACCTCGGGTTGAATATGCTTCATGTTGGACGCGTTCGAGTTGTGCTCCGCGGCAACCTGGAAGTAATGGAGCGCGTTACTTTCAGGTTTCGTCGCTCGCGCATTTGCAGACGCTCAAAATGACGTCACGCGCATGCACAGAAGTGGCAAAAAGTGAGGCGTGCGTGCGCAGACATGCCGTCGCTAGTTACGTTTGCTTCTGGATGTGAACGGGGCTCCGGAATGGATCCTGTTCGCATCCCGAGGTACCACTGTATTAGTATTAGGTAGAAGGAATACCAATGCTGCCCCTTTAAGGAAAGGTAGTGCATTCCCCCCTTTTTAGACCCCAAGGCAGGTTGGGAAATGTAGGCACAGCAATATTCTACTTTCTGCTGGCTCTGCCAGAGAGCAGGACAATACCTCCTCTTCCTCCTTTGTAATCTAGTGGCAGCCTAGTCACGGCAAACCCAAGAAGAAGGGCGAACTCACTTTGTCCTTACAGAACTCCACAGAGAACTTCATAAAAAGCTTCTAACCATCTTCATTCAGAGCCACAGAACAGCCTATTGGAATGTGAGTAATATTTCTACACGTGTCTTAATAATCTTCAATAAATCTATGTATGAGAGCTTTGTGGAATTGTGCTAATAGTATCCAGAAAGAGAGAAAAATCGGAACACATGCACACCACAAAGAGATGGCCTTGGGGAGGTAGCAAGCATGTACTGGTTTTTCAAGGCCTGTGACTTTCACCAGGGCACCATGGTTGAGTGGCCCGGCTACATGCTGTTTTTCATTATGTCCTGTGCAATGTGTGCCTGCGTCAATTTTAAACCAACTCATGTTTTCTACCTGCTTTTCTAGTTTCAAAGTGAAGTTTGCAACCACAAAGGGCTAGAAGAAAGCTGATTTCATTTTTTCCCCCCCAGTGGAAGCTTCCACACTGCAGCAGAATCAATAAGCAGCAGCGACCGTCCTGCAATCTGTTTGAGTGCACCCTACACAATGCAGTAAATTTCCATGAGCAGGAATTATTTTGAATAAATCAAAATCAGACAGCAGGAGGACATAGACAATCACATCCAACCTTATCAAGAGCTCATGAATTAACTCATTTTTCAGAATGCAGAGCCGCAAGCCACACACACACACACACACAGAGAGAGGAAAATGTGCACAGTGCCTGCAGCACAGACATAGGAAGAGCCCTGCTGGGTTAGATTGAAGGCCCATCCAGTCCAGCACCCAACTCCCCACAATGGCCAACCAGATGCCTTTGGAAAGCCCACAAGAGGGGCACCAACACAACCTACCCTCTTCCATTGCTGCTATGAAAAATGGTAATAATTCAGTGATAGAGCATCAGCTCTGAATGCATTGAGTAATCCAGTTAGAAAGTGATCAGGAAGGAAGAAATGGAAAGAAAACTTTTGTCCAAGACCCCAAAGACCTGTTGTTTTGATTCTAATATTGTATTGGACAGTGTTAATTATGCAGGTTCACATTTAGATGTGAAGTGAATCAGATTTGCGCCCCCCCCATCCCTACCCTTATCACCTATTTTGAGAGCTCTCTTTAATGGCGAGCAATGGCCATCCCCCTTAGGAATCGGTTCTCCCACCTTGGCTGTTACTTGGGACTTTGGCTGCTTTTGGTGGACTCTGGGTCCAGATTCTTTCCACTGAGAAAGCATCGCAAAATAAAAAATAAAAATCTAGCCTCAGATAATGACCCAGGGACTGCTATGTGTTGCTTTAATGGAAGTAAGCGCCAACTTGGATGGCTTTAAATGGGATTAAACAAATTCATGTCGGACAAGGCTACTTGCCACAATGGCTGTGTTCTATGTCCACTGTCAGAGACAGGGTGTCTTTGAATACCAGTTGGGACAACCACAAGTGCTTCCCATAGGCACAGGTTGGTGGACTAGATGAGCCTTTGGCCTAATCCAGTACGTTCTTCTGTTATGTTCTAGGTGAGAACATTAAACACATTGTTCCCAAATAAAACAAACTTAAGATTCAAATTTTCCAGAAGTCTTCGACAGGCAAGATATTGTAAAAACAAATTTATGTACACATTTATGTATTGCATTTATATATCACTTTTCCCCCCTCCAAGGAGCTCAAGATGCACACAGGGTTCTATTCCCCCTCCTCTTATCCCCACAACAACCCTGAGAGGTAGGTTAGGCTGAGAGATGGTG